GGGAGTCCCGGGCGACCGGCAGCGGCCGCAGCGCCCAGCAAGAAACCGTTCGCGTTGCAGCAGCGCCTGGTGAAGCCCCCCGGGCCCGCCCGGAGGAGGCGGCGTCGGCGGACCAGGCGGCAGAAGCCGGGACAGCGGCACCTGTGCCCCTCGGAGGGCGGACGCAGTGGAGCTCGAGAAGCTCCTCGCGGGGGTAAAAACCGAAAAAGCGGGGGGGGGGGGGGGGAGGCAGCAGAGAAGGAGCTTCTAGAAACTCCTTTCTGAGGCAGCGGCTGGGCTGTTTAAGAAACCCGCACAACGCCTGGGAAAATGATGCGTGGACGCGTCTTCGGAGCGCAAACCCCACCGAAGCTCAAAGTGCCGGATGCCGCGCTGCGAGTTTCAGCCGGCGCTCCCTTGGATTCCTTAACCCCGCGCAGGACACACGCCAAGCGGTGGTTTCTAGGCACTGTTAGAAAAATAATGTCAGAGCATTTTAGATTCAGAGTTTCTCTGCCTCCCCTCTAGCTTCCTAGGGCTTTGTATGTAGAAACACAATCATAGTTCAGTAGCTCCAGAAGCATCATCTTTTGTACCATGGCCCCTTCCTCCTTCATGTATTCTCCACTTGCTCATCTTCAGTCAGTCCCTTAAGCTGCTTGTGAGAGGAGGCATTGCAGATTCCTGGCACCCAGCGGTGCCTGCCACAAGGGAAGGGAAAAGGGCTATTTGCCTCATCTCGCTATTCCCCGAGTTCTGGGGAACTGCCGGGATTCCCCCAGGTCAGGTGAAAGGAGAGGGAGACCAACGTGGGCTCACACCACACGCGGACGAAGCACACCCCTACATAGGCATACACGCGTGTGCATAGCTCTGTAAGTAGCTGCATATATGTAAAGAACCCATTTCGTGATGCCACGTGGGTCCCTGCGTGCAAGCTTAGGCAGCAAACTTGGGGTGGGGGTGGAGGTGGGGGAGGACCTTAGCAGAACCTGACACTGCTCTCACATCCTCCACTCTTGAGAGCAGGTAAGGAAGCGTTATGTTAGAGACAAGGGGATGAAAATATTCCTAGAGCCCTTCCTGTCTCATTAAAATGTAGATTACTTTAGCAGGTTTCTGGAATATTCATTCATTTGAGTGGGTTGTACTTGATTTTTAGAGGTGGGTCTTTATCATCAGGAAAAAGCAACATTGGTAGGCTAATAAGGCCGTTTAAATTTGGCAACTGATTGGTATTTGGCAGAAGCAATGGCAGTGTGAATTGCCTTTAATGAGGGTTACCTTATCCACCACATGTTATTAAATATCATTTAATAACTACTTACTAGATAAAAGACACAGAACAACATGTATGATAAGCAATTTGGGGCAGTGGGAGGAAGCGTTTCCTTAATGGACAAGAGTGGCTTACCATATTATGAAAATGTAACTACTACAAAGGTACATGATTTAAAGCCCCATTCAGAGAATCATTTTAAGACTGTAAGAGTGTTTAAACTGCTCTTCTGGCCGTACATAGGAATCTTCCAAACCTTTCTAATTAATAGAATTTTTGGAAAAATGGTCTTAATTTTTAAGGGTAGATTTTAAGGGTAATTTTAGATTAAGGAGAGTGATGTAGGTAATCGATACAAGCCAATGAAAACATACATTACTTTTGAGATTAAAATGCATGTACTGCATTGTTAACATGTATTGAGTGCCTAGTACTGTGAGTGTGACAAAGCAGGGTCCTTGTCTGTCCTGTTCACTGTTCTGTCCCCAGCATAAGCCGTGTATGCCACATTGTAGGTATTCAGTAAATATCTGTTGAATAAATTAATGAATTTACTCCTCTAAGAACAATGGTGAAGTATGCTCACATATAAGATGTATGTCAGGGACTAGGGAATCATAATCTTTATATCCTAAGGTAAACATAGACTGCCTACTTACATGACATACCAACATTGAAGGTAGAAGGTTAATGTAAGAGCAGCAGTTCTCATATTACTTCAGTTCAAATCCCAGCTCTGCCACTTACCAGCTCTGGAAACCTAGCCGAGATGCTTGATTTTTTCTGCTTCAGTTTCATCACCAGTAAAATCAGGATAATATTAGTACCTACTTTACAAGGTTGATAGGAGGATTAATGATGCTCAATTATGTCTGGCACATAGTGAACACCTATATCATGTTTAAATGTTATAAAATTTGACTTGTAGACATAAACATATCTATACTACCTTAACTCAGGTCACTCCAACATTTATCACCAGTCACCTCCTTCTAATTTTTGGCTTACAAAATGATTCTGGGTGTATCCATATTTCTATAGGTGTATACATTTTCCTATAGGTTTATGCACATTCTGTCTTCTTTTTCAGATGCTATCCATCTCGGGAATAAAATATTATTTTCCACAACATCCCCATCATTTGTCCACATTAGACATGGACAGTCAAATAGTGTTATTGACTGATTCATGGTTGATTAATGATCCAATGCTGAAATTCAAAGTTAATACGGAATCTTAACTCACATTATAAGGATACCAACATTAAGTTCAACTTCCATGAATATTTGAACAGATTGGTTATTCATAGAAATGATGTGAAATGGATGAAAAAGCATGAGCTATGTGCCCTTGGGCTGGTTACTTTAGTTTCCTGAGTCTGAGCTTTTTGGGGGGACAAAATGAACTAGTTTTTCTTACCTCCGTGCTTTTTTTTTAAATTTTATTTTATTATGTTATGTTAGTCACCATACAATACATCATTAGTTTTTGATGTGGTGATCCACGCTTCATTGTTTTCGTATAACACCCAGTGCTCCATGCAGTACGTGCCCTCCTTAATACCCATCACCTGGCTAACCCATCGCCCCACCCCCCTCCTCTCTAAAACCCTCAGTTTGTCTCTCAGAGTCCATAGTCTCTCATGGTTCATCTCTCCCTCCAATTTCCCGTCTCCGGGCTTATTTTGACAATTAAATGAGACCATGTAAAGTACCTAGCCCAAAGAAGGTACTGGTTTAGCATGTTTTTTCACTTTATTTTCTTATAAATTATTTAAGCTAATTCTTTTCCAAAATACATCTTTTCAACTTCAAAGAGCCCTTGGGAATCCTACCTCAATTTTTAATTTACCTTTCCACTGTTTCTAGATTAACAACAGCCCTGCTCATAGTTAATCCTTTGGAATCCTTGCCTAAATTCTTAATTTAATTTAATTCTTAGGCACCTCATTGTGCTTTCAAATATATTATAGCAGTCAGTCTTTCTGAAAACATTGTCCTGCCCTGCAAATTCTTCCTATTCAGCTCCAACCAAGGTGGATAATCCAGGTCAAAAAATATGGCATTTATAACTTCTATTTTCCAACTTCCAGTGTTTCATATTATATTTATTTGCCCATGTCCTAACAACCACTCTGATCTCACTCTGTTTCTTCACCCATAAAACATGAACCATGATAAATACTGAGACAAATCTTGAGGGGAGTCATTTATCCATTCCAATATCTCTCATCTTCCCACTTCAACACTAATGTTCTGATAAGAACTAGTAAGGTGCTAGACCAGCATGTGAAGTTGTTGTCCTTGTCTATATGGTTTATAACTTTTTCATCCACAAACAGAAGACAAATGTACAAAAATTTGGGGTGGATGTTTATGCTGATAACAATGCAAAGACCAACTGAATGAATCGTCCTTGGAAAGCCAAGCATTGACTGTAGATAGTTAGGTAAATGAATGTGTCCTTCTTTAACTTAGAAAATCTAAGGTGCTTGCTGGAAGGGAACTGGAGATGTACCTAGCTCCTCAAGATTATTACCAATTGGGTTCTGTACAATAAATCTGTGACTAGCAAGAGAGGCAGACTGAGATTTTTCCATTAACATCCAAGGATTTGGCCCTCATTAGTTTATAGACAGAATGGTTTTGGCAAGATGGCTGAGCATTTCCAAGGACTAATGAAGACACAGAATGCTAAGCGTTGGGTTTCCATGTGTTTCACGTAACTCAGAGGTAAGCCAGGGCATTTTCCTGAACTCTTCTCATTCCACGGTGCCAAAACAGAAAAAATAACATTACTTTCAATGCATAGCTGAGATGGTGAGGTATGAAGGATTCAGAAGACTTTACACAAGACAAACTAGGGAAGCATCTCCAAAAGAATAGAGTCCTCCTTGACAACAGCAATGACAAAATCAATGACAAAGACAATAACAAAAATGCTCATAATGCTAAACTTGAGCTGCAGATGTTTGAGGAGATTCATGAGTGTGAAAAGTTAGATGACTTTGTACTAATGAGGAACTTTAAATATTAACATATAGATTGGTGGAAGATCTAATGGGAATAGATTTGGAAAGAGATTTTTTTTAATAGGCCAGGTAATTGCTTTCAGAATAAGTAAAGGCATCTGGTAATTCATTCTAATAATTATTGAACTACAAAAGGCAATATCTTGACAGGTCTTTACTGAACTGGATCTTGAGAAGGAGCAAATACACTAGTTTACTAACTCCCAAACAATTTGATATAGAGAACATCCTGGATACTTAAGGAATAAGTTGTAGGACTGGTTAACACAAGAAAAGTACTTAAATGTGTTCATATAAATTTAAAGATACAACATCCTCAAAGGCAAACTAAAGAGAGCTAGGCACATTTGGGTTTACACCTTGACCTCTTATTATGGACATCATAGTGCACTGCATCTTCACATAAAAATCTTCTGTGCTTGATGTAGGAGGTAGCTGTGTTCTCAAGAAAACAGGAGGAAAAT